GAAAGAAAGAAAGAAAGAAAGAAAGAAAGAAAGAAAGAAAGAAAGAAAGCCACAGAACACCAAAGTAGATGTCAAAGTCTCTGCATTAAAGCTCTTACAATTTACTCAATAGGAAGCCCTTTAGGCTTTCATCCATCAACAATTTACTTTTTATTTTAGACACAAATGCATAATAGGGATATTTTTATGATATCTCAGACAACAGAAGCTTAAGTGCCACAATGAGAAATGGGGCAAGGCCTTCCTATGCTGACAGCAATGAAGGACCCTCCCATACCTCCCCCAAAAATACCATACCAAAAACAAAAGCAAAAACCCTAAAGAAAGTAGCCACAAAAACTCAAAAAGTATATCACCAGATACCACTTGGAGTATTAACCAACCACCCTAGACATCCCAATAGCCTCAGCAGATATATAATATTACAGAACAATACAATAAAGATGAAGTGCCCAACACCATACCATGCCTTAGATATAATAAATACTCATGGAATCCATGTGTGTAATGATAATCCTGAGACATCAAGAAAAGATCAAATTATGTTTCATATGCTTTTTTTTAAAAGAAGTATAACAGAAGTAGCTAGGTGGCTCAGTGGAGAGAGCATTGGACCTGGAGTCAAGAAGATGTGAGTTCAAATCTGGCCTTAGATACCTACTATCTATGTGACCCTGGGCAAGTCACTTAACCTCTGTTGGCCTCTGTGGAAGGAAACAGCAAACCACTCCAGTTATCTTTGCCAAGAAAGCCCCATGGACAGTATGGTCCATGGGGTCATGAAGAGTTGGACACAACTCAAGTGACTCAAAAATAACAACAAGAAGGAGTAAAATGGAATTTGGAAAAAAATTCCACCAAAAAGATTTAACACTTGGCTAAGTTTCAAATATCTAAAAAATGTACATGTGGAATATCAAAAGAGGAATTATTGTATCTATTTTGTATATCATTAATAGTCAACTTTCTCACATTTAGAACGTTTCTACTGTTAATGGTTCTTTGTAAAAGAAACAACACTAGCTCACACCTACAAGGCGATTTGTGGCTTAGGAAGTGTTTTCTTCACAACTGTGTGAGGCAGGCGGAAGAAGTATTCTTAACCTCATTTTAGAGGTGAGGAAGACAATTCTCAGGGAGATTCGATGGCTCCCCCAAGACGACACAGTCAGCCCTGGACAAGAGCTAGGGTCCAAGTCAAGATGTGGCCAAGCTCTGAGTTGAATGATACTTTTGGTGCCCTGTGGAAGACATGTATTCAGAGAAGAGAGCATGCCATTCATTATGGAAAGCAGCAATGGTGGAAATAAGAGCAGCTAAGGAGGATGAGCTCAGCCCTCTACCCTTAATTTGCTACTGGGGTCCATCCTGGACTCCCAACTCTCTACACTAAGTATTCCACTACACTTTTACTCACCTTTCAGTGTCTATAAACTCTCTAGCACGTTTTCGATCCCTAAGGGGAAAAAAGAGATAATATTTTAAAAGAATAAAAAAAAAAAAGATCACTTGATTCTTTTGAACCAAAATAAACATATGTATAGCTATAACTGACCTAAGTTTGGTAGAGGATTTATTTTGTCTTTGTATCATTTCAGATTTCATTTAAACAGATAAGGTAAATAAACACTAGGACAAATGAAATATACTATATAAAACAAGGTACAAAAAAGAATTGAAAGGGAAAGTATTTGAATGACTGAATTGCTTCAAAATTTAGTACATTAGAGTACTATAGAGAAAAAATTTTTAACTGTGCTATGTGAATACTATGTTATATGAATCAAGAAATTTCAAATAAATGAGCTCACAAGTTGAACAGGTTTGGTCAATCTTTGAGAAGAAAAATACCACAGAGGATTCAAAGAAAAAGGGTAAGAGAAAACTTTCACTAAGTCATGATCTTTTGACTCAGCCAGGAATGGGGAACCTACGGTCTCAAGGCCACATGTGGCCTTCTAGATACTCAAGTTCGGCCCTTTGACTGAATCCAAATTTCACAGAACAAATCCCCTTAATAAAAGGATTTGTTGGAACCCAAAGTTTTAAAAACAAATGTTAAAAATTATTTTTACATGCAACTGGGAAATAAGATATACAGGCAATGGGGTATAGAAATCTATCCTGCCCTACAGGAAAATAGAAGGGGAAGGGGATAAGAGAAGGAGGAGGTGATAGAGGGGAGGGCAGATTAGGGGAAGGGGTATTCAAAATGCATGCATTCTTGGGATGGGGGAGGGGAGAGATGGAACTCAAAATTTTGTGGAAGTGAATGTTGAAAACTAAAAATAAATAAATTAATAAAAAAGAATTTTAAAAAGACTAATGGGGAGAAAATATATATGTATATATACACATATATATCAGAACATGTAAGATAAATAGAGTAGATATAAGTTTAGGAAGGATAGCATTAGAAGCTATGGGAATGGGAAAAATGCTGTTTAGAGAAGGTGGCACTTGAGTCTGTCTTAAAAGAGGCCAGGAACCGTAAGAGTCAATGGATGGAAGGAAGAGCCAGATTTATTTCAAATACGGGGTTCTTTTCTATATTTACTTTTGAAAGTGCCACAATCTTTGGATAGCACAAAACCAAGAGTTCACAAAATATAGAAGTAAAAGATTTTTTCTTTTATGGGGATTAAAAAAAAACACAAACCACAATCCTTCCTTCCTTCTTTTCCTTCCTGTAAAGATTTGAAAACATTACCTTTAAGTTATGTACTTGTCTATTGGGGATATTTTTTGGTTAGTTTTAAGATGTTGCTATGACCATCTGACTCTACAAGTGACATGTTAAAAATAAACTTGAAGTTTAGGAGCTTAGCTGGGGCAATACAATAGAGGGATCATCAGAGGCTCGGCATATAAACAATAGAGCAGAAATGATTATTTAAGCTTAATTGGACTGGCCCAACTTTTATGAGAACATCCAGATAACGTATGAGAGAATGGGGACATGAATGGCCTGTGAGACTCCACAAAACTTTCAGCAGCTTGGCCATGACCATAGTCTAGGATTTTCTTTCCTGTCTTCTTGGATATCACTGTATATGGCTCTGGCTGCTCTTACCATAAAGCACAGAAGTCAGTAAAAGATTCACACATTCTGTGTTTTCATCAGGGACAAGGAAAGGGAGATATTGGGTATCCTCCACTGTCAGGTCCTATAATATTTGGAAACCATGGCATAGGTGATATGTTGAAAGGGAAATCTAGGTAATGATTTGCATATTCACCTCAGAGACAAATATCCAATCCTTTATAACTTAATAAGATTGTCTAATGGTGAGGGTTTACTTGAAAGAATGTGACATTAAGATTTGCCAGTGATTAACTTGCTATCAGGCCAAAACTTACTATCTCATAATTTCATACTCAGATATTCATCCCTATGCCAACAGTTTGCTCTTCCTTATCACACAGATGATGAACAGGTACATCATTCCAATAGAGTTTATGAGAGTACCCCAAACCTGCTACTATACCACAACTGGGAGCTGGTGGGGCACAGGAAAGGTGAGTATTACTGTTTATCAGAATAGGAGGAAGGATACTCTGCCACACTGCCCTTAGACCTACCTATTAGTACAACCAACACTGGACTCTTGATCTCACTTTACTTTTAATGATATTCATTTTAAGTACTTACATTGTTATACATAAGCAACTGCAAGTAGCTTTCTATTGTGTCCATCCTAAGAAGCAAAACTGATCAGCTAATAAATATTTTAATACATAAAAAAAATTAAAAATAAAAGGGTTTGTTCTGTAAAACCTGGACTCAGTCAAAAAGCCACACCCAGGACCTAGAAGGCTACATGTGGTCTCAAGGCTGCAGGTTCCCCACTCCTGATCAGCCCATTACACAACAGTACAGAGTGAACCTCAGGGAAATAACTCTTATGTAGCAGATGATGGAGAGCCCCCTTCCAGGGCATGATTAAGATGAGTAGTATATCAACTATTCTCCCAAGTTTGAAACTTACACTCTAGTACAAAATAAAAGCTACCTAGTGAATATTTAATCAGGCAATTGGAAAACAAAACTTTTCTGGGCCCCTGAAATTACTTATAATTGTGAATGTAGTTCTCAGCAGATATGAAAATTAGCATTTGGTCATTTTAATAATGAAAACTTTAAGCTCCAAATCCAAACTATCAAATGCTTCCCCTAATGTAGGAGGAATGGTTTCAATTGTCTAATTTACTGACCATATATCTAAAACTCATCATAAAAGTAACTTTTTTTTGCCATTAAAAAAATATATATTGATGCCTTAAAACAAATAAACACACGTTTATTCACAGCATGTCCACTCTCATGGAATCCTCCCTTATAACAAGAAAAAACAGTTCAGAAAAAACAAGCCACCAAGAAACATTGTCTGTCAGGGCATTAAGCAGTGAATGCCTGTATTTGTGCATCTGCCTTCTCTTCCCCCCCCCCCCCATCATCTGTCCTCTGAAACCAACACTGGTTTAACCAACTCTGAACTGGTCTGTTAAAGAGAACTTTCAAAAAGGAGCTTAGGGATAGCTAGGTGGCACAGTAGATAGAACACTGGCTCTGGAGTCAGGGGGACCCGAGTTCAAAGATGGCCTCAGATACTTGACACTTAACTAGTTTTGTGACCCTGGGTATGCCACTGAACCCTGACAGACTTCCCTCCCCCACAAAAAAAGTTGTATTTTTTAAAAATCTTTCAAGATAAGACAAAAAATAACAGAAATCTCACATGTATAACTATCTCCAAGAGGTTTGCAGCATTATTATTAGTATTATTCATTAATATATATAAATGTCTGAAGCAAATACTTTATTCAAATAATGTTTATTAAGTTCTTACTATGTAATAAGCCATGCTAAAGTCACTCAAGGTAAACAGATGATGGGGCAAGAAATGGAATTATCCACTAGGAACTGACAAGAACTGAATTCTGTTACATTTCTTTACCTTTTGAATTTTGAAGAAGGGAGAATAAGTGTAGGCATTGTTATGAAAGATTTTGCCTTTTTACCTACATGAGAAAATAGGGTAGAGTTTTGGTTTCATTTTTTGATTTACGATATGATAAATACTGACAGATGCCAAGGTCTTAAAAAAAAAAACAACAACTACAACAACCCACAACCAGGGTAGCCTTCTTGAGAAGTTTACTTTAATCTACCTGTCTTTCTAATTCTTTTTTCAGTTCCTCTGACTTGCACAAAGTGCAGTGTTCAGAGCAGTGGACTGGAGTCCAGAGGCCAATGTCCAAATCCCAGCTCTGGAACACAGATTACTCTCTTCATCGTACAATGAGGAGGCAGGACTAGATGGTCTCCAATGTCTTTTCCGAGCTCTAAATCTATGATCCAAAGATACTACTAAGAGCAGAATATGGAAATGGCCAGGGAAAGAGCAATTCAGTCAATTGGCTTTTCATCAATGAAAACACATAACTTCTTTTTTAACATCTAAGTCCAAAGAATTAAAACATATTTTGCATTTCTAAGATGACTAATGATTTTATTCTTCAGAGACAGAAAAATTATTTCTGTTATTAGTATAACATTCTGGGTGATGACCTATTTGCTAATCAGGAAATATGAAGATGAAGACATACAATAGGCTCTCGTATTAACAAAACACGCTTATGCCCTTTTGTCTTTGACCGTAAAGAAGGGGAGAGTCTCAGAAGCTCACATATAAAGGAAATTCTGAGCATAGTCACCCAGGTATGTTGTGGCACATTTGCTTAAAAGATTATAAGGGACTGATAATTCCAAATAGAACATGATTCTTGGGTTTGTAGGCACTAAGACATAAGGCAATACTGGAAGATAAGAATGCAAAAAGAAAAGTCAGACCTGTACTTTCAACAAAAAACTAAAAAATTAAACAAACTGATAAATAAGCCCTCTCCCTCCCCACTCCCCCCACCCCCCTAAAAAAAGGCCTTACCCTGGAACCCAGCCAGCAGCTTCTGTCACATGTGTCTGCGTGACCATTGCTGGTGCAGGGCTATAAGGATTCCCGATCAGAACACTCCCAGAACTAGTTAGTCTTTGTGGTGTGCTTATAATCTGTAAATGTTAAAGAAGAAGAACAGTAAAGATTCTTAAATACATAAAATAGTCTGAACAAAACCATGTCACTAAGGTACATTAATATTAAAACACATAATAAATGCAACACAGATCCTAAATCACGTTCACATAAACAGAACACTTAACCTGGGTTAAAATGCAAGTTTAAACAAGTTAGCTACAATTTTGGAGGATTAAATCAGAAATATGAAAACCTTTCATTTGGTAATTATGAAATCTGTTGCACAAGTTGATTCACCAAAGCTAGTTTATATAATATTAGAGCTTCACATATATGTTTGGTGCTTTTAAAGAAAATTTCAACATGAAAATTAGAAAAGCTTTGTAAAAATTGGCCAGAGCCAAGTAAAAAGAGATGAGGAAAATTAACATAAAAGCAAAATTTAAAATACAGTATAAAACTAGTAAAATTGAAATAATGAGAAAAAAATTCAGAAATTTCAAATTAATTCTTAATCACAAGTAAGGAATAGCAGATGTCTAGGTACCAGAGTTCTATGTGAACCCTATTCCTTAGTCCTCAGGTAACAAATCTCCCCTATTTGACTATTTTATTTTCTATAATAGTCTGAATTTCCTTCTTTTGGCTTTCTTTTACCAATTAGTATTCCTCTGCTAGCTTTTTAAATCCTCATCACTTTTATTCCATCTGCTTTAGCAAATCAAATCTGTTGATTATTCCCATATATGAATCTTCATTCCTGTTTTCCATTTTCCACAAAGGAGGTAATTTCTTTTCATTTTTCACAAATTTTCTAATTCACCTAAATTTTGCTCACAATCAATCTCTTCATCAAGATTTTCTACATTACTAATCTCTTTATGCAAATAATCTAAACATATATGCAGCATGATATATTGTAAGAAAGAAAACTGATTGGAATTAGGCACCCTGGCTTTAAGCTCCCACTCTTACTCTGACTCTACTAGCAGGGTAGGGTGACTTTGGATGGGTCACTTAATCTTTCTGGGCTGCTTCCTCATTTTAAAATATGAATAAGGAAGAGTGCACTGGCTACCTCTCAGTGGTGGTCTTTGGAAGTGCTTTGTAAATCATAAAGCAGCACAGAAATTTCAGCTGTAACAGTTAACATGAGCTACCTTGCTTCCTTTAACCATTCAAACGCTTTTTTAAAGATCGAATGCTTAGGTGTCTCAGGGCTACAAAGTAATTATGAAGGGATATTTGTTGGAGAGGCATTATTTTGCAGCAGTAGAAAGAACACTGTATTAGGATCAGAAAACATGGGGTCGAGCAAGGTTCAACTCTTCCAATTTTGAACCCCTTGAATCTGGAGCAAGCCACAATCTCCCTGTGCTTCATTCTCTCCCTCTGCAAAGTGAGGTTAACACCGTTTGTCCCAACTATCTCATGGAGCTGTTGTGAGGACCAAATAAGATAATGATACCATCTCATTGATACAGTACTCTCCTAACATGGGTAATACAAGTGTTCTGGTTCCCATTTTACAGATTATGAAAGTTGATTGCCAGAGACATGAAGTAAGTGATACAGAGCTGCCATGAGGCAAAGCTAGGACTGGGCTCATCAACATTCACTGACATGTGAAAAAAATTCTTCACATCTTTTTGCTCCTCTACACACAGACACAGGCACACACACACACATCCGCGCACGCATATACACATAAGCTGGGAGAAATTACAGCTATATTGATTTCAAAAGGAAAAGTGAACTTGGCAAGTTGGTTTTTTTTTTTTAAATCCACAGAACACTGAAATTAGAGGAGGAAAGGAAGTCAGAGATTCATTGATTAAAGAAGACAATGTTGTATTAATTACATTCAATGGCCAATTTATGACTGACTCGTGGAATCTGTTGCTATATGACTGCTTACTCACTGGCCCCTTCAATATATATAAAGTAGACTCTATAAAGCAATAATAATTATCACAGCTAACATTTACATGGTGTATTTTAAGTGTTTTAAGAGAACTGCTCTTTTTGATGTGATCTTCACAACAATCCTGTGAGGTAAGTGATAATTTTGGGACCTCAAGGTGGTGCACAGGACAGAGCTCCAGAACTAGAGACAGGAAGACCTGAGTTCCAATGCAGCCTCAGAAACAATCTGTGTTTGACCGTGAGCAAGTCACTCCCCCCTGTTTGCCTCACTTAACTCATCTGTAAAATGAGCTGAAGAAGGAAATGGCAAACCACTCCAGTATCTCTGGCAAGGAAACCCCAAATAGGGTCACAAAGTCAAATACGACTGGACAACAACAAAAGTGCTAGTCTTATCCCCATTTTACAGACAAAGAAACTGAGGCTGACTTTCCAGATCATAAAACTAGTAAATGTTTGAGGCAGAATTCAAATTTAGATCTTCCAAACTCCAAATCCAATACTTTATTCACTATGCCATGGCAGCTACATGGATAGTATAGTGGATACAGGGGTGGGACTTGCAAATCAGGAAACTCCAGTTCAAATCCTGCTCAGATTCTTATACTCTGGGCTAATTACTTATCTTAGTTTCCTCATCTGTAAAATTAGTATAACAACAGTACCTACCTCACAGAATTGTTGCTAGGATCAAATGAGTTAGCATACATGCAGTGTTTGCAAACTTTAAAGCACTATGTCAATGCTAGCCATTATTATTATAGAAATAAAAAGTATTATTATTACAATTGCTGTTACTTAATTTAACAATCATTTAGCCTTCCTAATTGTTCTCTTCCACTGACCTTGGTCCTTCCCCAGGAACAGAACTATCAGCAACCCAGGAGAACTGAGGAGATATTCAAAGAGTTAACTCAATAGAAGAGGGCTGGAGACAAAGAGCATGGGCCCCCTGCTGCGCACCAGACTTGTGGTTCACTAATGCCCATTGTAACTGCCTTAGAGTGGGAAAGAACCCAGAGCACGAAAGGCTGTAGAACAGGGCAGGCTGGAAGAAAAACTTCACGGACATTTCATCATCTTTCATAAGCCTTTTCTCTGTTGTCAGCTCCTCAAGTGGTTTCCTGTACTGGCGTCCTCCTTCACTTAAAGCAGCAGGTTGTGGATAAGCAGTGACCTCTAAAGCCTGGGACATTATGCAGATACTGTAGTGGTAAGTCACTGATTCGCAGTTCTCCCAGCGGAATGTGAAAACTGTTTGGTATCGGTCAAGACCCTGGAGGATACAGAGCTCAGACTCTTCCAATAAGAGAAGTACTAATGTGGAAAAAAAAAACCCCTCTTTTTTTGTGGGGTCTCTTTGGGAGAAGCCTCTCAGCAATTGAGTGTTTGTAGATACATTTTACCTAAAATAGTAGAGAGAGTCTGTGGAATAAAATACAAATGCCTAATCCTGACTCTGGAAGTTCTTTCCAGTTAGCTCCAGCCTGTATCTTTCCATAGGTATTTCATATAACTCCCTTTCAAACATACCACTTTGAAGACAAAGTGAAACACTTGCTGTTCCTTAAAGCTGGCACCCCCTTTTCTGCTCCAGGAGCTTTGTACCTGGTGTTCTTCCTGCTTGCAATGTGTTCATTCCTCATCTCTGTCTCGTAGACACAAAATTTTCTTTCAAGGCTTAACTCAGGGGCCACCTCCAACTGGAAGCCCTTTTTGGCTCCTTGAGCTGCTACTAACTTCTTCCTCCTCAAACTATCTTCTGTTTGTTCACTTGTCTGTCTGTATCTCCCTGTAAAATTGAACTCCCTAAAAAAGGGCTGTTCTCATTTCTGCTTTTGTGTTCCCAGAACCCATCGGAGTGACAATTGTTTCATTCACTGCAAACGAAAATTGTTATACGTGTATATAGGCATTTTCGAGATCTGAAACAAGTATCACATATGCACACACAGCTTTAACAAAAATATGTAATGAAACAAGATACATATTAAAAACAAAACCCATATGGAATACAAGCGCCTATCAGAGAAGTTACTTATGACAGCTCTTACAAAAGGGAAGTAGGGAAGGAAGGAAGGAGCCAGGCTCTATGTTAAGCATTTTGTAAATCTGATCTCATTTGATCCTCACAACAAACATTTTGGGAGGTAGGTATGTGTTCCCCATTTTACAGTTGAGGTAACTGAGGAAGACAAGAGGTGAAATGACTTACCCATGGTCATATGGCTATTAAGTATCTGAGGTCACATTTGAACTGGGTCTTCCTGACCTCTAGGTCCAGTGCTCTACCTACTGTGCCACCCAGTTGAGATACACACTTACCATAACATCTCATACAGCGAAAAATGATGATAAGTGATTTACCACTCTAAGTGATCTTTTGACTATTTTGCAACTACATCCTGGTTACTTTATAAGCTCTGAAAGTTCCTGTAGCAGAATCATGAGGGGCCAGATCCATATGCGTTTTGGAGTTGTTCAGTCGAGAATAACTAAGAATATTATTCTATTTCACATTATCAGGAAAGAGAATTAAGTAAACTTTTATTCATTCAAAGAACACTTAAAAGTGTCAGTCACCTTCTGTCAGTCAATTAGTCAATAAATAAAAGGCAGAGAATCAATCCACACTCTTATGCATCTCAGCCTCAGAGGCTGCACTGAGTGCACAATTATCTGCAAACAAAAAGTTGAGCCCAGCTCTCCATCCAGTTTAGTTTTGGTTTGTAGCCTTTTCAAGTTAAATAATTTACCATCAACGTGTAGCTCTTTGATGCCATTTTCATCCTCACTGAAGGTGTCCCACAACATCACTGAAAACATCATGCTAATACACATGGGAGCAAGCACACAGCCCTGCTTCACTCGAATGGTGACTGGGAAAGCATGAGAACATTGTCTATTATCCAGAACCCAGGTAAGCATGCCATCATTAAAATGACATACAATACTGATGAACTTTTCCAGGTAACCATGATCTTCCACAAGCCCTCACAATTGACAGTATCAAAGGCCTTGGTCAGGTTGATGAATGTTGTGTACAGACATCTATTCTGTTTGTGGCAGTTCTCCTAGAGTTGCAAACACCATATTGACTGTTCCTCAG